GAGTCCTCTTCTTGCGCCGAGTGTCTAATCCGCCCTGAAAGGCGTCTAAACGGCCGGTTAGCCCGGCGTCTCCTAGGAATGCCAGGCGGGAGGCAGCTGCCAGGCTGCATTAGGGGCCTCCGCCTCGGATTCGGGCCAGCCGGGAACCGGTGATGGCGGCCCTTTCCCTGGCCAGAGAGAGGGTAGGTAGGTGGGTAGAGATGGTAGGGAGATGAGAGAGAGAGTGATAATAGGTAGGTAGGTAGGTAGGTAGGTAGGTAGGTAGAGATAGATAGATAGATAGATAGATAGATAGATAGATAGATAGATAGATAGATAGATAGATAGATAGATAGATAGATAGATAGATAGATAGATAGATAGAATAGATGGTAGATAGATGGATGGATGGATAGAGAGAGAGAGAGATAGACAGACAGACATAGTAGATGGATGAATAGATAGATGTTAGATAGATAGATGGATGGATGGATAGATAGAAAGAGATAGATAGATAGATAGATAGATAGATAGATAGATAGATAGACAGACAGACAGACAGACAGACAGACAGACAGACAGACAGACAGACAGACAGACAGACAAAGACAGACAGAAGACAGATAGAGATAATAGATGGTAAATAATGGATGGATGGATGGATAGATATAGACAGACAGACAGATAGATAGATAGCTAGATAAAGCTTCTCTCCTTGATTAGTTTCCATCCATTGCTTCTTGTCCTGCCCTCAGGTGCTTTGGAAAATAAGTTGCCCTCTGCCTCTATAGGTCCTTTCAGACTGGACTTCACAGCTTGTCCTTCATGCTCTTGAGATGCTTTCAAAAACCCCTGAATCTCCCCCTGCCTGTCCCGAAGAATCCCCAGCTGCCCACCCCGTCTCTCCGTCCCTCTGCCGCTTCCTTGAAGGACTCTTCTCCTCACCCAGAGCCCTTCCCGCTGCACCGTTGAGTGGTTCCTTCAACAAAACAACTTGAAGGACAGCAAAGATTATAATCATGGGCCAGGAAGCTTGGCAGCAGCTGCTGGTGTGACTCACACACACAAAGGTGCCCTTGGCTTTGTGTGCGGGATCTGTGGACAAGGACAGGTGTCCTCGAACCTTCAAGTGGTCCTTCTCAAAAAAGATGGTGTGGTGTTTGGTGAGGACCTCCTGAGCTTAGGATTCATTTTTTGATTTGAGAGTCACCTGGTTTGATTCTGGAAGGAGGACAAATGTTGGACATCTTTCGCCTGGAGGAGAGAGGACTTCAGGGAGATGTGACAGATGTGTCTGAAGGATGTCGTGGGAAGGTTGAACAAAATTGTTTGGAGGTGCTCCAGAAGATAGGAGAGGAAAGAAAGGACGAGGAGACATTTGTTGGTTGGGCTTCGGGAAAGGGCTCCTCTTGAGAAGACCTGTTCAACTGGGGAGGATTCTTCTTGGCTTGAGGTGCTTCAACAGAAGGTGGAGAGTCGTTCTCAAGAGATGTCTCCAGGATAGATTCTTTACACCGACCAGGAAGGTGGATCAGATGTTCTCCCAGGTATCTCCTGACTCTTCTTCCTCAGGGGAATTCTGGGAGTTGAAGTCCACAAGCCTTAAGAGTGGCCAAGTTTTTGGAGTCTCCTGCTATAATCCGTGCGATTGGGAAGCTCAACACTCGAAAATAAGCTTCAAAGTATTGCCCTTTCTGCTGTTCCCTTTTGCAGTGGTGAATCTGAGGAGGACAGATGTTTCTGAGCAGATGCTGTCCCTATCGCATAAAACATTTAAGCCCAGCTCAACCATCTGGGGCCCCATCATCCTGTTCCAGAACATGCGGAGTTCAAGCCCAAAGACATTTTGCATGAATCATCTTCTGATGTTCTTCACCGGAGGACGGCCTTAGCCTTTCCCTAGAAACCTGACCTTGGTGATTACACACACCTCTCTTGGCCACAAAATTGGCACGAGAGTATAGAATGCTAGGTCTAGAAGGGACCTTGGAGGTCTTCTAGTCCAACCCCATGCTCAAGCAGGAGACTGGACCATCAAACCCTCCCCCAAGAGCCAGGAAAGCCATCAGAACGAGGCTTTTCTCCTTCCTTCCTTCCTTCCTTCCTTCCTTCCTTCCTTCCTTCCTTCCTTCCTCCCTCCCTCCCTCCTTTCTTTCTTTTTTCCTTCCTTCCTTCCTCCCTCCTTTCTTTCCTTCTTTCTTTCTTTCTTTCTTTTTTCCTTCCTTCCTTCCTTCCTTCCTTCCTTCCTTCCTTCCTTCCTTCCTCCCTCCCTTCTTTCTTTTTTCCTTCCTTCCTTCCTTCCTTCCTCCCTCCCTCCTTTCTTTCTTTCTTTCTTTCTTTCTCTTTTTTCCTTCCTTCCTTCCTCCCTTCCTCCCTCCCTCCCTCCCTCCCTCCCTCGGCATGAGAAGATCACCCAAATGCCAGTCAATGGAGGGAATTGCAGGGCAGAGCAGGACGGCAGAAGGGTGGGCGCCCCGTGATCTTTGGAGGAAAAGATTCCAGCCTGCTGAAGTGGATGGATTCCCACCTGGAACTCAGAGCTGAGCTCCAGATTGCCACAATCGGCTGCATGAACACGGCAGCCAAGTGGAGCGCTCTTGAACTGAATGGGGCTTAATGAACATAAACAGCCATTGCCGGTGATCTCTCCGGCCTCAAAGGAAGGGGAAAGTTGACAGGGTAATAACAGCCTCTGTCATGACACACCCGCCCCGGGGGGAGCTGGAAGGGGGGTCCTCGGCTCTCCCTCCAGGCTGGCGGGGGCCACAACAGGCGGCCTTTCTCCCCCCTCCCCCCTGGCCCGGGATCACTTCCCTGGGACTGAATTGGGACTGTTTTACCCCTCCAGGCTGCTGCAGGGAAGGGAGGGAGGGAGAGAAAGGGGAGGGAGGGAGGGAGGGAGGGAAGGAAGGAAGGAAGGAAGGAAGGAAGGGAGGGAGGGAGGGAGGGAAAGAGGGAGGGAGGAAGGATGGAAAGAAGGAAGGAAGGAAGGAAGGAAGGAAGGAAGGAAGGAAGGAAAGGAGGAGGAAGAGAAAGAGGGAGGGAGGAAGGATGGAAAGAAGGAAGGAAGGAAGGAAGGAAGGGAAGGAAGGAAAGGAGGAGGAAGAGAAAGAGGAAGGGAGGAAGGATGGAAAGAAGGAAGGAAGGAAGGAAGGAAGGAAAGGAGGAGGAGGAAAAGAAAGAGGGAGGGAGGAAGGAAGGAAGGAAGGAAGGAAGGAAGGAAAGGAGGAGGAAAAGAAAGAGGGAGGAAGGAAGGAAGGATGGAAGGAAGGAAGGAAGGAAGGAAGGAAAGAGGAAGAGAAAGACAGGAAGGAAGGACAGAAAGGAAGGGAGGGAGGGGAGAAGGAGAAATGAGAAAGAAAGGGAGGGAGAATGAAAGAAAGGAGGGAGAGAGGGAGGGAGGGAGAGAAAGAGGAGAAGTCTGCATTTTGGAGGCTGGTAATTGTGTTGTTATCAAAATGGCTCATAATAAACCAAACACAAGGTAATGTGCTCTAGAAAGAGTCAGAAGCCAATGCTATTTTTTCCTATTTTTTTTCGGTGCCATTGTAACTTCAAACAGTCACTAAACGAACAGCCGTAAGTCGGGGACTTCCTACAAATGCATTTATTTCTCCGTGTTGCATGCATAATTGGGGTCATCGTCATTACACACAGGCACGCTGTAGAAAATGGCATTTTAAAAACACTTTGGGGGACATTTGCAAGAGCCACCGCAGAGATTGGGGTTAAAAACTCTATAAAAGAGAGGAGGCTGGGTGCAAAAACTCAAACATTGGAAAAACAGGGTGGGTTCCTGGGGGTTATTTTGGAAGAAATGGAAACCTCGTAGACCGGAGCCTTGTGCCGTAATGCAGACATGAAAGTAAATTGGATTTATATTGATCGGTGCTTTGTTGCCATTTTCAAGAAACATGTATTCTTTAGCTGGGCCGACACAAAGGGGGCCTTGTTTCCCGCGAGGGTCACTAATTTCTCCGCAACCCAGATCGGTGTGCTCCAAACTTGCTTATTTTTATTTGAGTTTTATCTGGAAAAGGCGAGATTTCCTGAGGCATTTTAGCCTCAGGAAAAAAACAATGGCGGTGTGGGTGGTTCTGAGAGAAACTGACCGGTCCTTAATCAGTAAAAATTAGGAGATGGATGTGAACGTGGGAATTTGAATTAGATGTGAAATTGATGGACTTAGCAGAGAGAGAGAGAGAGAGAGAGAGAGAAAGAGAGAGAGAGAGAAATGGACTTCTTGGTTTAGAGACCATAATATGGCTAAATTTCAGGCCGTTGTGACATTTCTTTACCGGATAAAGAGAAGAATCAACTCTGGGAGTGAGGATTAGATGGGATTTGAATAGAGCAACGTTGCCGCCTTTGAAAGATAAGGTTATTTACATCGGACAGGTTGCCGGTTATTTAAGGACGCAGTTGAGAGAGGAATATTTTATGAGGGCTGGTTTTTAGAAGGCTGGCCATTAGTATTTTAAGATACTTTACAGAGTGATGTTATTTGTGTAAACCTAAGAGGGGGTTGTATTGTTAACAGCTCTAAAGCTATTGATAAATGTAATAAATAGGTCTGCAAGGGAACCACCACAACCCTCCTTCTCCTCCTTCTCCCTCCTCCTTTTCTACCACTTCTATTTCTTCTCTTCCTTCCTTCCTTCCTTCCTTCTCTTTCTCCTCCTCCTCCTTTTCCACTTCTCCTTTCTCTTCCTCCTCCTCCTTCCCTCCACAAAGCCCCACTCCCTTCTAGCACTGATCCTGTTCCCTAGCTGGGTCGTGAAACGTCTGCAAGGAGAACCCCCCCCCCGGCTCCACCCTCCGCCACAAAGACCCCCCTCTTCTCCTGACTCCTCTGAATGTTTCTGAGGTTCCCTCACCGGCTGATCCTCGGACCCCGAGGGGCTTTTGCCAGGGGTGGGGGGCTCAGAGTTCGGGGCTGCAGGGAGGCCCCGAGCGACGCCCAGAATCCCCCCACTCTCTGTCCCCCCCTCCCATCTTCAGCTTTTCTCCTCTTTCTCCAGGTCTGGCGCTCCATCAGATCATCACCATCACCGTCTCGCTCATCATGGTGATTGCCGCGCTGATCACGACCCTCGTCTTAAAAAATTGGTAAGGAGGTGTGACACCCCCCCCCTCATTGTGGCTTTTGGGTTGTGTTGGGGGGGGGGCGACAGCCACAATTCTCAAACCGGCAGCCCATTTGGGAATTACAGGTGGTCCTCGGCTTACAACCAGCAAATTTTGGTCCTCTCTTAAGTGTCTTTCTCCACCTTTCGCTTTGAAATCCTCCTTTAAAATCCAGCATGGAAAAGCCGCCTGAAATTGTATTTACACCCCCTGGGAGTGTCTCTCCACACAATTTTCTCCCTTTCCCAATTAGGGAACTTCAGGGGAAAGAAAGGGAAGACCCGAACTGGTTTTAAAATTTAAAAAATTTCCTTCTGAGTTTTGGTCCTGTATTTGACCCTGATGATTTAAGAGAGCCGCACTGCACGAGAGCAGTCTACCTGTTCCTTTTCGACTTGGAAATACAGGCCGTTTTTACTCGTCCTTGGAAGACCCAGCCAGGGGTTCGCCAGCTGTGTTGTGAACTGGCAGGAGTTTTGCAAGCTGGATTATCCAAGTTTTTCATACAGAGAATATACGTTCTAGGTTCTATCTATGCAAAATATTTTTTTTCTATGCAAAATATCCTTTTGTGCAAAATATTCTTCTGTGCAAAATATTTTTTCCTACGCAAAGAAATCGTCCATGCAAAATATTCTTTCATGCCAAATATTCTTGTATGCAAAATATTCTTCTCTGCAAAAACCTTTTTTCTATGCACAATCATCTTCGGCTCTTCAAAGCTTCTCGGTTTCTCCTTCAGTGGGCTGTGCAAAGAGGATTTTTTTCAGCTCCAATCAGGACTGCAAACCCTTGGCTGTAATCACACACAGAAACATACAAACACGCAGAGCACCAACAACTGGAAGGAAAGGGCAGGATAATTTGTGTCGCCTTGTCTGATTTGGGAAGAACCCAGCAAAGATTTACCAAATTTGTTTCTCGGAGACGATGGTCTTAGAAGGGGGGAGTGAGGACCAGATCCAGAGTTCACGCCGGGCGGCCTCCGTCCACCGGCTTGGACCTCTTTGCCTGCTTCCCTCTCTGTTGCAAGCTCTCATCTGGCTTAATTATTTTCCTTTTCTTCTCGCGGATCGGCTCCTGCGTGGCGTAAACTAGGTTACATCTTAGCTCCAGGCTCTTCTGCCGTCACCTCGTTTCCTAGTGAATTCAACCTACTTTGAGATCAGCTCGCCTCATTTTCATATTAAGGCAGAACCCCCTGGGAGATGATAGCCAGGACTGGAGATGGGGGAGAGGAGGAGGAGGAGGAAGAGGGAAGGTTGCTGCTTTACAAGATCTCACTGGTCTCCTTGTTTGCTCCTCAAATGCTCCAGATTTGGAGCAGGCGAGGATGGAGATCCCTAGGGTTGGTTGAGAAGGTCTCATAAAACGTAAAAGCCTGCTGAGATCCAGGTACCACAAACCGAGTGGGACCTTCTCAGAAGGTCCACCACCGTTGGACCTTCAGGAAGAGTCACAAAGATGTGGGTTTCCCGCAACTGTCTTCTGAGGTTGAGGAACCTCAAATCCTCAATGCCTACTTGAGGTTCCTTTTCTGCTTGAGGAACCATCAGTAGGACTTGAGTGTCCCCACCCGTTGAGTTGGTCAATGGTAGACCTTTGCCGATTCCAAATCGGTTGGTTGAGAAGTCTCCAGGCTCCTCCCTCCAGGGGGAGGAGGAGGAGGAGGAGGGGAGATTGCTGCTTTCTGAAGCTGCTTTCTGATATCTCGCTGGTCTCCACGTTTGCTCCTCAAATGCTCCAGATCTGGAGAAGGCGAGGACGGAGATTCCTAAGGTTGGTTGAGAAGGTCTCATAAAACGTAGAAAGTCTCCTTGGAGGGCGAAGCCTGCTAAGATCCAGGCGCCACAAATCCACCGGGACCTTCTCAGAAGGTTAGGCCATCACAACGTTATGACGGTGCTGGACTAAGTGACTTATGACCGTTTTTCACCCTTACGACTGTTGCAGGATCCCACGTGATCAAAATCCAGATGCTTGGCCACTGACTCGTATTTATGACGGTCGCCGTGTCCCAGGGTCACGGTGACCGTCTTTTATGACCTTGTCACAAGCAAATTCAACCAGGGAAGCCGGATTCACTTAACAACCGTTTTGCTCAGCAACATAAATGTTGGGCTCAGTTGTACAGTTTGACCCTCAATACAATAAACCTGGATCAGCTGTACGTCTGAATTATCTCCCAGGTTTTGTGTCTTTCAGCTGTTTATAGATGGAAAGCGTAACCGCTAATTAAAAAAAATAAAACCAGCGGAAATCCATAACTGTTCAAGCACAGATACTCTTCTATTGTATTGAATTTCTCCTCTCTCGTCATCCTATTTCCAACCAGTTAAAAAAACAAAAAAAAACCTCCACATCACTCATTTATCTATTTTCTCCCCCAAAAGTACACATTTTCCTCTGCGAGTTCATGATTCCCCTTCAAGACGAGCTTCAGATCTCTCCGGCAGCTCCTAATAGTTGCGACTTTCTGTCATATCCACCCTTGAGTTACACAAATCAACCTCAAAATGATTTGGCTGCAAATTAAAGTCAAGCTAACCGAGGAGAGAGAAAACGAGAAGTTTAATCTTGTTTCGTTTTAAGGCAAACTAGAATAGAATAGAAATTAATAGAATAGAATAGAATAGAATAGAATAGAATAGAATAGAATAGAATAGAATAGAATAGAATAGAAATAAATGAATAGAAAGAACAGAATAGAACAGAGCAGAATATAAATGAATAGAATAGAATATAAATGAATAGAACAGAATAGAACAGAACAGAATATAAATGAATAGAATAGAATAGAATAGAATAGAATAGAATATAAATGAATAGAATAGAATAGAACAGAATAGAACAGAACAGAATAGAGCTGGAAGGGACCTTGGAGGTCTTCTAGTCCATCCCCCTGCTCAAGCAGGAGAACTTATACCATCTCAGAGAGATGATTGTCTAGTCTCTTCTTAAAAATCTCCAGTGATGGAGCGCCCACGATTTCTGGAGGCAACTAAATGAGGTCGTATCATCATTTGTGAGTATTTAACGTAGGACATAGAATTATAGGGCTGGATGGGACCTCGGAGGTCTTCTAGTCCATCCCCCTGCTCGAGCCAGAGACCCTGTGCCATTCTGGGCAAATGGCCGTCCATCTTTTCTTGAAAACCTCAACTGATGGAGCACCTCCAGAGTTGCACAGATGTTAAAATTCATCTCCATAGTCCAAACTCTGGGCGGGGGTCACATGCCAGGTGTGCGTGGGAGGGGGCTCCATCTGTCGGGGAGGAATCCCCCCCCAAGAACACAAGGACAATGGAGAACAAAGGGAGAAAGACAATCCCCTCCCCCATCCAGGGGAGTAGTGTGTGAGTTTGTGACAAATTGGGCGACGTGTCACAGCATCCTAAATGATCTCAACAAGCACAGTGTTAAACTTGGTGTCGTTGCTTACACGGACACGGTACTTAGAGTCAGTAATTTCCTCTTAATTACAACAGCCATCGTTTGAAATTCGAGATCGGATTATGGAAGATAAATAAATACATGCATAAAATAGACCCGGAGCCCAGCGATCTGGCTTCGTGGCGTGCGCTTCTTTCTCAGGTACTAAAAAGCGATAATTAAATTTGGAAGTGCAGGTAATTGCCGTCTCTCAGACACGCCAGGACCGGTTTGGCATTTGTGTTACTTTTCTTATGAATTATTTACAGCTTTTAAATCCCACCTTTCTTATTCCCCCCCCCTCCCCCCCGCGGAGCGCTGGAGAAGAACAGACGGGCTCACAACTCTGCCGAGCACAAAATCGCAGAGGATGTGAGTTTGTGCTGAACGAGGCTGAGCCGGTTGCACAGATGCTCCGTCACAAAGCCGTTGGCCTCCTTCCTTCAAATCAAGCCAGCATTCGTAGGATGCTGGCTTCTGGCCAGTTATCGCTTGACCCGTTTGTCAGCATGAGTTGGAGAACCCTGCTTGAGCAGGGGGTTGGACTAGAAGACCTCCAGGGCCCCTTCCAACTCTGTTGTCCTGTGATTCTGTAAGGGTCTCCGACTTGAGCGGGGGGGGGGGGTCGGATTAAAAGACCAGATGTTTTACAACCGGTCTCTTCTCTCCTCCTTCCAGCTGTGCGCAGAGGGGGAACGCCCGTCGGAACGGCCACCAGCGGAAAATTAAACAGCAGGAAGAGAGTTGCCAAAACTTGACGGACTTTACTCCAGCCAGAGTGCCCAGCAACCTGGACATCTTCACGGCCTACAACGAAACCCTCCAGTGTTCGCACGAGTGCGTGAGGACGCCCGTCCCGATGTACGCCGAGGAGACGATACTCTCACCGGGAGACTATAAGACCTCCTTCAACGGAAACAGGTGAGAGCTGTGGCTGATGGGTCCGGTGCCAAGAGGGATTCTTGAGTTGGGCTATTCCCATCCGGAATAAATTGCGTTGGGATGAAATGTTGTCTCAGGCGGGTGTGAATTCCACAGGAGCAACGAAGGACAACGTTCAGATACTTTGTGTGTGAGAAAGAGGCTGAAGACAGCTCCTCCTCAACTGTCCCTGGCATACGGAAAGTCCTTGACTTACCCCAGTTCATTTAGTGACTGTGTGAAAAACGATCCTGTCCCTTTTTTCCCCCAGTGCCGTTGTAACCTTGAAACGGTCGCTAAACGGACTGTTGTAAGTTGAGAACCATGTGTGGTTTGATTGCAGCTGTCGTGAATCTGAGGCAGCTTTTTTCCCTTGCGTGATAGGAAAGGAAAAAAAATAAATTCTTCTCAGCCAAGTTTGCAATTTCCCCTTTTTTTGTGCCCCGTGCAGAGGTTCCTCCTCGGACCGCCATCTAATCCCCGTGGCCTTCGTATCGGAAAAATGGTTTGAGATATCGTGTTGACCGGCCAAACGCTGTTTTTATCTTCCTGGGGGGGCAGCTGGACGCCGTGCAGCCGTTCCATGGTAAGTCCCTTCTCTAGCAGTTTTGAGTGGTTGTTTTTTTAAAAAATATTCTAGAGGTCCTGATGGATCTGATGAACCTTCTCTCAATGGATGTGTCCTGTGAGAAACTCTCAAGTCCTTCTAGAGGCGTTGATTCTTCTACCATCTCAAGAACTTCATGAGATGTCCCACAGGGGCTTTTTCCCAAAGGCCACTGGACTTCCTTGGCTTCAGCCTTGAAAACGCTTCGCTTCTCATCCAAGAAGTTTCTTCAGAACTGGCAAGGGGGGGGGGCAATGGAAGGCCTGCAAGGTTAGATCCCTGAAGAGGTCCCTCTAAATGAGTTTGAAGAGTTGACTTCAAAGGTCTTCAAGAAGAGATTGGACGGCCATTTGTCCCCAATAGTCTAGGGTTTCCTGCTTGAGCAAAGAGTTGGACTAGATGGCCTCTAAGGTCCCTTCTAGCTCTATGATTCTGAGATAAGATAAAGGATGGATGGATGGATGGATGGATGGATGGATGGATTGACAGTTGGATGGGCAGATGGACGGATGGTTGGATGGATGGGCAGATGGACGGACGGTTGGTTGGATGGATGAACAGCTGGCCTCCTGGAGTTGTGGGTGCTCCATTACTGGAGGTTTTCAAGAAGAGACTGGACAGCCATATCTCTGAAATGGGACAGGGTCTCCTGCTCAAGCAGTGGGTTGGACTGGAAGACCTCTGAGGTCCCTTCCAGACCTAGGATTCTATGATTCCTTCCCCTATCTAGTTCTCACCAATTCCCATCCTGCCTTTACTGTAGTTTGTGCCCTCCTCTTAACAGAATAGCAGAAAAGCATAGTCAGAAGGGACCGTGGAGGTCTTCTAGTCCAGCCCCCTGCTCAAGCAGGGGACCCTCCTTCCTTCGCTTTCCATTAAAATCCCACTTCCCAGTTTAACCCCCACGGAGGCCAGCCCGTGCATCAGCCCCAAAGCTTTACCTCCACGTTAATTGATTAAACATTTCTTTCTCTCTCTTTAAAAAAAATATTTTTTTTTCACCCCAAATGAAAAAAAAAAACCACCCCTCTGAATAGAAACGGAGAGTGGGCAGAAAACAACCCCCTTGAGTAATAGCTGGGCGAGATTCGTCTCCTGCATAAACAGCAATTAACAGGGGGGAAATGTAATTAAAATTGTAATTAAGGCTTCACAATGGCAAAGGAAATGTCTTCGGCGTGGTGGAAGGTGGATCCTTTGTAGATCTATGGGTCATGTTGATCCCGTTTTGCAGCCATGTAAGGAGGTTTTCTCGGAGGGACCCCAGCAAGACGTTAGGCATTCCTCAAACATGGAATAACAGAGTTGGAAGGGACCTCAGAGGTCTTCTAGTCCAGCCCCTTTTTGAAGCAGGAGACCCTATGTCATTCTGAACAAATGGATGTCCAAGCTCTTCTGATGGAGCCCCCACAACTTCTGGTGGCAAGCAGTTCCACTGAAAGATGCCAACTTTGTAAAATATTTAAGAAAGAAGAGGGACAATAAGACTGAAGTGAAGTGAAGGTCTGAGATTATTCATATATTCTTTATTTTTAATGTTCCTTCTTTCCTTCCTTCCTTCCTTCCTTCCTTCCTTCCTTCATTCCTTCCTTCCTTCCTTCATTCATTCATTCATTCATTCTCATTCTTTTCTCCTTCCTTCCTTCCTTCCTTCCTTCCTCCCTCTTCTCTTTCTTTCTCTTTCTCTTTCTTTTATTATATGAAAAACCTAAATGCATATAAATTCACATTTAAAATTAAACCGTCAGATTATTTTTATCATGCAGATGGGATGTGTACTGGGCAGGTGTTCTGATTTCTTTAACAGATTTTAATTGCACTTTAATTGTATTTTAATTGGCTCTGCAAATGTTTACGTTTCATTACCGCCGATTGCCTTCTCCGGATGCCATCGGTAGGAGAGACGGGCATCCGTTAAATAAATTCCACCACGGCCGAGGTCTGCCTCGTGCACACACGGCGGCCAACTTTGACCCCAGAAATGAATTAAAAGCCTAAATCTGCTTTTTCTCTATTGTTTGGCTCTCCGTGTTACGTGCGTTTGACGTTTGATAGCAATAAAATGGTGAACTTTGGAGGGTTGGCTAATTATTCTGTCCAGGAGATCATTTTCATCCTCTGTTATTGCCTCTGCACGCTTTTTTAATTTCCTTTTTTCCCCCACCCATAAATAAAATGGCTTAAAAGCTCCCCAGATGACGGCAGGCGCTCCTCGACTTACGACTACCACTCAGCCCAAAATTTCCCTTGCTAAGCAGGACGGTCGTTAAGTGAGTTTTGCCCCCGTTTTACGACCTCCCTGGCCACGGTTCTTAAAGGAATCACTGCGGTTGTTAAGTGAGTCACACGGCTGTTAAGCGGATCTGGCTTCCCCCCCCCGGGGGCGTTGCTTGTCGCAAAAGGGGATCACGTGACCCTCCCCCCCCCGGGAGACTCTGCAACCGTCGTGGGTCCACGCCAGTTGCCGAGCCTCTGAATTGGGATCGCGTGGCCAGGGGGACCCTCAGTGCTGTCGCCACTTCGAAAGGTCACTAAGCGAATGGTCGTACGTCGAGGAGCACTTGCACAGCCTTGTATGATACAGATGCATTTCCAGAAACAATTTAAAAAGTGCATATATCACATTTTCTTCTTTTCGTTTCCCCTCCCCTCTTTCCTTCCCTTCCCCTTACCTTTTCTTCTCAACAGGATTCCATTGGTGAACCTGTAAAAAAAACAACCCAACATTAAAACGAAGAGGAAGATCTATAGCTAACATTTGTGCTTTACCGATGGAAGACTGAAAGCAGTGAAATATATTTTTATATTTATACCTATATATAAATATAAACATGTTAGCCCCGCCCTGCAATTTTCGCACTATTTTTCACACACACGAGAGAGACGGACGGGGAGAGACTCGCACGCCGAAGGGAGCAAACGGAGGGAACCGGGCTCCGCACGTGGACGTCACTTGGGAAGGCCGGAAGGACCACCAATTTTTCTGAAACTGTGCCAATTACAACCATTATGTGCCATGAACTGCCGGGGGGGGGGGAGAAAGGGGCAAACTCGGAAAAAAACCCCCAATTTAAGGACACATCAAAAATCTTAGGAAGGGTGAGGGCCGCGTCTTCTCGTAAAGTCAGTATTTCTGGTTACTATATATATAATATATATATATATATATATATAGATCTATATATATATAAAAAAACCCGCAAACACATTTTGTATTGTAGCAAACTTTTGGAGAAAAAAAAAAGCGATCTTAAATGTCTGGGGTCTTTTTTAAACTAAGAAATGACTTATTTGAGTTATGTGATTTTTTCCCTTGAACAGAGTCGATTCCCGGACATAAATAAATCCGTGTTTTTTACTCTGGAAATGTAGTTTCCACCGAGCCGTTAATGTCCATCTGGCTGGTTCCTAAAAAAAAGAACAACCGTGTCCAGTGAAGATCTGGGCCCCGTGGTGTCGCTTTCTCTAAACAATCCTGGTTGGTTGTGGTTTGTTGGAGATCACATTCACGGCTGCATCCGCAGCGCCTCGAAAGCGGCACTGTTTTTCAGACATGCAGTTCAACACAGCATTGGCTGAAATGTGAATTTTTCTCTTTCTTTCCCCATCCCCAAGAAAATGATTCCTAAATCAAGGCGCAGGGCCCAGCAGACCACCGGAGACAAGAAAAATCAAAGCACAGGAAGAAAAAAAACCAAACCCCAAATATGTGATCCTAAAGACAGCTCAGGAAAATAACCTCCAAACAAACCAGGATCGCCCCGAAAAATTCAAATCAGGAATAAGGCAGAGTTTTTATTCTGCGGGAATCAAGGGGAAATTTTTAGCCGATCAAAATGTGGACGCTCCGTTTCAGAAATTTATCTTCTCTGCTGGGGAAAGAGTCTCAAAAGGTTTTTTTTTTTAATCTTTTTTTTATTATTATTTTTTAGAAATTTTGGTAAAGGAAGACCAAAATCTCCTTTTTGGGGAAAATAAGGGCTGAGCCTGAGGACTTAGCGACCTCAGTATTGTCGTCACTAAACGAGTCCGTCTGCCTCCCTTCTCCCTATATTTTTTTTTAACACTGTGGCTTTTGTCCCTTCTTGTTTTTAATCTATTTAAATTTAAAATCAATTTTATCGATTTCAGATGCTGGGTTCCTTCTCGTCTCCTCCTTTTTTCCCCCCCATTAAATGTTTCTAAGCTCCTTTATCGATGGGAATTGTTGCTTTTAATTTTTGTAAGCTGCCTCGGGCAGTTAGGAGAAAAAACACTTGAGGGTGATTTATTTCCCTAAATAAAGACATTATACAAGCCAAATCCTCCGTAATGTTGAGAAGGGAGCTTTGCGTTTTCTCTTGGCGTGTGAAGCAGCTCGAGGGTCTCCACTGTAATTCCACAAACGATTGTCTGGACCCACAAAAGTTTAAAAATAAAACCAATTTTCCATTTAAAAAAAAAAACAGGCTTCCGAAACAGAGGTCAACTACCGTCCAATTCGGTGGATAATAGGAATTTGAATCTAATACAGGTTGCATTGTTAATATCTCTGAACATCTGTAGGAAAACCACCAGGCTCAGAATAAAAGACCCCACAGTTGTCCTCCTTCTCCTCCTCCTTCTCCTCTTCCTCCTCATCCTCCCTCCTTCTCCTCCTCCTCTTCCTCCTCCTCCTCTTCCTCCTTCTCCTCCTCCTC